TTTGGGGGTGGGGGTGGGGGTGGTGGCAACGAGAGCTGATTAGCCGGCGGCGGTGATGGCGGGGGAGGTGACGGCGGCGGTGAGGGTGGCGGCGACAATGGCAGCTTGGACGGTGGTGGCGGCGGCGGCGGCAGCGGAGGTCTGGACTCCAGAGATCTATATCAAGAGGGACAGCAGCAGCAGCGAAACGGAGTGGGAGTAGAAACGTAATTTGTCGTAGTGGAAATGGAAAAGAAAGAAGAACGGGAGGTTTGAACAGATGCCATCACGAGGAGTGTTTACTAAAAAACCTGTGAAGCCGTACAGTTAGTTCGGGCGACCCGTGGTGCGGAACACTTACTGCTACGGATATGGAACACACCAATATTAATTATAACACACAGAATGAAAAAAACCCTGTACTTGGTGTCCGGTGTCCCGGGCCAAGCTACTTCTCGAAGCTTCTTTTGCGTCAGCGCTCTACAATTCCCTTCTCAACCGCCCCAAGGCATTACTGGCCCCCCAAAACCTCGAAACCCTGTTTTGCTCCTTCCGCAATCTGTTGTCGTTTCTTATTATTCCCATCCTTCTCCACTCACTCCGGCCCTCTCCATCATCCTCCTTGCAGACACCCTCCCCCCTTCTTGGCTTTTCCTTCCTCTCACATCATGTAAAAACAGCCAAGAAAGCCATATCGCACGATGCAGTCCTCCGTCATGGCGGTCTCACACAGAAACCCAGCGCGAATGAGGTAGAGCATGTAGTTGGTCAAAGTTGTCACGCCGGCATCGTCAATGTTCCAGCCCGGCGAGACAATTGCCTCGTACACGCCACGATCTGCCCAGCAGCGCGACACGGCGCGCACGGACGGCGAGGTGCTGTTGGTGCAACCGGTTTGCGGAACGCGCGACGCAGCGCCAAACAGCACTCGGATTCCGGGGGCGGCGGCAGCGATTGTGGCGGCTACGGAGTTGGCGTTGGAAAAGTCCGGCCAGCAGACACCTGGTGGTGGTGATGGTGATGGTGATGGTGATGGTTCACGAAAAATGGATGTTTGTGGAGATTAGGAAAGGAGAGCGGGTAGGGAGGAATGAAATTTATGAAAGCAAAAGCAATTTTCACAAATGGGACACCAGTCACATCAGGTAGCAGAACGCAAATCGTGGGTTCAATCAGGTGATACATATCGTTTTATATCTCCAACATCTATATACCCTGGGAAGTCATCACCTGGGCCGTAAAGTTCTTAGTCCTCTAGCCTCTATATCGATGGGGGATAAAGACTCAACAGCAACAGGCCCCCCTGCCGCGCTCCCCCCTCACCACACTCCCGGAAGCTAGGGGCTGCCTTCGGTTGATGTTGACGTTCCCCTATCCTTGTGACCCGCAATACATACACACATAGAGCCTTAGGCACCCCTTCATACATGCGCGCACACACACAGACACACACGGAAGAGCATTTCGCCACACATTAGCCCGCTGCCCCAGCCACCCTAAAGTCGGCGGCCAGCCGGCTAACCGACTATGACTCACGAAGCACCATGACGCTGTCCAGCAGCGTCACTCGGGAGCTCCAGTCCACGGCGGTGGGGGCCACCAGATCAATCCCCGGCGAGATCAGAAAAGGCGTGTAGCGGAAATTGCGCACTACTACATACTGCAGCGTGAATGCGATGTTGGTGCCCAATCGAACCTATGGGGGGAGGGAGAGCCGGGGGGAGGGAGAGCCGGGGGGAGGAGGTGGGGAACAGAGCCGCGATCGGAAGTTCCAAGGCGGGCGAGTTAACAGCACCGAAACCACAGCGACAACTCCGGGGGACCCAACAGGAAAAGAGGATTTCAACAACAAAATGACGCGGACAAGGAAACAACCACGGCGCTCAACCTGCTGCCGTAAAGGTGTGTAGCGTCCATCAAGCCCCAGCCGCTGCATCCCAACCCCGCGCCAGTCACGCAGTCATGCAGTCCTGCCGCCAGCTCTAGCAATGTGGCAATGTAGCTCCCTATTATCGGCGCCATCATGTACTCGCATCGCGACAAGTCCGTCACCCACCGACTCGGCGGTACAAGCACACAACCACTTCAACCCTCGCCCCCACACACATCCCGGCGTAGCTTAAGTCTTTAGAGCACCGGGCTAAATAACCGGCAAACTGGGTTTCGAATTCCAGACACGGTAATCAGCTTTAACGAGAGATGTGGGTTCGTATCCCACCTCTGGTCCCCCCCCCCGGGTGAAGTAGATCGGATTGCTATGTAACAGAAACCGACACACACAAACACATACACACACACTCAGACACACACGCACACGCACACACACACACACACACACACACACACTCAGACACACACGCGCACACACATATACACACACTCAGACACACACACACACACACTCAGACACATATGCACTCCGCAAGTTCAGCGGATCACCTTGTCATGGGCGTTGTTGAGATCTAGCTGAGGCCAGGAGGTCTGCGGCCCGGGTACTCCGGAAATCGCAAAATCGGCATCGCGCACTAGGGGCAGTAGGGGAATGTAGGGCCTCCAATCAGCGGCAGACACGAACACATCCGTAGTCAGCAGGGCCACGCGGATCGCTGGGTTGGACAGGGCCGCTATGAGCTGCGGCCCTGTGGCCACGAGGGCCAGGGCGGGGTCGGCGAGATTGTCGACCGGCACGGGGGCCTGCGCGGCTGCGTGGTGCAGACATCCGGCCAGCAGCAGGGCTGTGATGGCGAGCAGGTGATGGAGGGAGACCGCATCCACTCGGGATGCCGTCGTCGCTGGCGATGAAGCGAGGCGACAGCGGCGGAAGATAGCGGAGGTAGTGGAGGTGTTGTAAGTAGCGGGGATGAGGGTGGAGGCGCGGCTGATGGCGGCGGCAATCGTCGGTCGGTTGCGCATGGGGAGGGGTGGCGGGGTGGAGGGCGGTAGTGCAGCTGTGGTTTAAAACTCGGGATCCGGATCTGCAAGCGAGCACGTGCGAGCGGCGAGTGGCAAGATCGGAAGTGGGAGGTTAGGGAACTGAGGGATGGGACAAGGATTTTGACAGAAGGGATTGGGGGTTTGCGGAGGGGGAAGTGGTTGCGGTTGTGTTGGGTAGTTATTACCGATATGGAGTTTTGAGATTCGATGTAAGTGCTCTGCCTTCCCTTTGAAGTGAATGAGTGTGCGTGTGCGTGTGTGTGTACGCGTGTGTGTGTACGCGTCTGTGTGTGCATGTATATGTGTGTATGTGTGTGTTTGTTACATATCGATCCGGCCCTGACAATGGCCAGTTGCACCTAACCGTAACCAACGGGAACAACCGCGGAAGCACTTTCCTCCTTGTGGGGGGAGAGGGACGTGAGGGGCCACAGCCCCCTCCTGCTCGACCGAGGGCGTGCACACCCCCCCCCCCGTTTCCCCCGTTTGTCAAGAGGAAAGAGAGCGCGGTGGCTACCAAGGCCCTCAAGCGACCAACCTCCGCACGCGCTGTGGCACTGCTCCGCCCATGCAACCTGCGCCTTGTGTGTGTGTGTGTGTGTGTGTGTGTGTGTGTGTGTGTGTGTGTGTGTGTGTGTGTGTGTGTGTGTGTGTGTGTGTGTGTGTGTGTGTGTGTGTGTGTGTGTGTGTGTGTGTGTGTGTGTGTGTGTGTGTGTGTGTGTGTGTGTGTGTGTGTGTGTGTGTGTGTGTGTGTGTGTGTGTGTGTGTGTGTGTGTGTGTGTGTGTGTGTGTGTGTGTGTGTGTGTGTGTGTGTGTGTGTGTGTGCATGGCTGCGGCATCTTCCATCTTCTAGGGGAATCCCAGCGCACACACATACACACACTGGTGAAGGGCCGGATTTCGGAGTGTGATGCCGGAACGCGGGTTTGTAGGCTTGGTACTACGGACTTTTAAAGCGGCCGCCTAACATTACAGCGGTTTGAGAATACGCCGGAGGTCACAGTATTTTATCTTTCGTATTGACAGTATGGCCCTGTGCGGATGTTCTACACAGCTCAAAATCCTCGCACTGATTGACACCTGACTGACCTGCTCGCCTACCAGCTGACTATTCCGTACCTGATCACAGGAGCTTACTGGGCAACCCTAGGTTCAATTATCTCGAGTTACTAATCAGCAGCAGGAGGCTAAATGCCCATAGATGTGCTGCAACCCTGCGCGACCACGGCGATGCAGGTGAGGCGACAGGGACAAGTTGCACCAGCAATAAAAAGCTCTGCAGAAATACTATCAGTATAAAAAATAAGATTTTATTTTTTAATTTTGCTCACTTCTCGCACCTCACCGTAACGTTTTGGGCCCTTGCTACGAGATGTACCTTGCATAAACTTGCAAGGACCAACATGTATTCCATCGCCTTCACTGAATGTATTTCTTTAATTGTTACTGCCGATCTTTGTTATCCAGAAAACAAGCTATCGTACAGGTGTAAATCGTCGTCACTCTACAGGATTGCTGTCCCTTACCCTGAGCCGAAGCAGACTTGCTAATATTAAGTAGATTTTTTAATAGGGTGTTTTCCTATGTTTGATAGAGAATGCCACATCGTCGAGAGATGCCGTACCGTGGCACCCCAATCTGAGTGGCTGAGGAGTTTAATACGTTGATCTGGATTGCTTGGACTTGAGTTAAAACAATATTTGAAACAGTTGAACTTGCGGTGATATAACGTCAGAAGCAGGGCCGCAGTTCGTGGCGGGCGAGAAATACAGGAAAATGCATAATACGACATTTTAATGGGATGAGGAGTCAAACTGCAGTACATTTCGTATGATTCTTTCTTGTGACGTTGCGGGGACATCCTGACTTGGAGATTGGCCCGCTGTTAAGGAATTGCGTGACATGTGCTGCAGACCACGTAAGTAAAAGAGGAAAACAATATGTAAAGCGAAACTTGAGGCCTGTACGCTATAAAGTAGCTTTGGATGTTAAAACTCCCAAGGCTACTGGATAGCGTGGAAGCCCACAAACTTCGCTTTACAATATGGGATTGCCGTACAAATCCCGTCGTGGTCGTGAAAGCAAATAACAACTCCTCTACAAGGCGATAGTAATAACAAATTATAGGACAGGTGATAACCTCACAAACGTTTGTAGAAGGAAGTACTGCAAAAAAATCCGTATATCCGTAAATCTCACGATCTGCGCACGATGAAGATCACTCGTCGCTTGTTTTAGGAAGGTTTCAGTTGCAGCACCGCTGTCCTCGGACCATGCGGCCTGATCATCGCGTTATCTGAATACCTGGTAGTAGTTATTAGTGGGGATTGTCCGTGTGCGGACGTGTGTTTCGGGGGTTTGGAAAGGACGGCTCATCTGGAGGTTTCTGCCAGGGACGGGGCCGGTAAAGGCTGCTTGAAAATTCTAAACACACTGAACTTATCGCAAGATATGAAACCTGCCCACAGAAACTTTGGCTTGGACGCGCCTTGATTTGCGAGTGACTTGCCAATCCATTACTTGGCTTTCACTTCGCCTGGAGACTGATCGACTGGATCTCCTCCATAACCCAAAAAATAAGCGATGGGTCTTTGACCTAGCTGCATCTGCATCCGGCAATCACTCATCTCCCACACGGCCATGATGCCATTCTAGGGCATGCCACTCACAAACGTACGCATCCAAACATGCACCACCACAAGAACTATACGAGACACACACACACACACGCATACACACACACGCACACACACATACACACACACGCACATACGCACATACGCACACACACACACATACACACGCACACACACGCACACACACACACACACACACCAGTGAAAAGCTTGCACCAGCCAGTCCGCAGTTCCTTAGATTAGACTCCACCAAGCGCCTCCACGAAGTCCAGACGCACATTAAAATCTCCCCCAGGAACGTCATCTTCGAAACATCACCACGGCAATGCCAATGTAAGAATCAGAGCCTCTGTTTGGCGGATGCCGCAAGCAGTTGCTCTACCGTCGTCAGCTTACCTCAAAGGCCAGCAGCCCGGTATTAGCCTCTATCGGTTCACCAGGTCCTGACGGTACGGCGACTGTACGGCGTTACCCTGGATCCGACCGAGCGAGTCACCGGTACTGTCTGCACCTATCTGATAAACACGCAGCTGGCTGGTCACTCACTCCGTACATTTCCGTACGCCGATACTTCAGGATTTCTGCCAAGGCCACTTCAGTGCTCTCGATGGGAAGGACAAAGGCGAATGAATACGCACAACGCTATATGGGTGGTTCCAAGCATTTGGCAAGCTGACCAGCTTTCCCACCTTAAATGTCAATTGACATTTAATGTGGGAGAAGGGGCGACAGGGGCATCCGTGTAAGGGGGATCCAAAAGGTGTTCGGCCGGGTATGTGCTGCCTCGGCGATGGTGCCCCTGCAGCAGAGCATGTAGCTCCCGGAGGAGGGATGGCAAGTACGGTTGGATTGAGTTGGTAGGGTGGTCGCCAGGATTGGGATAGATCAACCGGGGATTGAGATAGACTGACGGGGGGATTGAGATTGACTGTGGAGGGATTGAGATTGAGACCGAGGTGGATTGAGATCGGGTTACCGTTGGATTGAGAGTGTAGTACCGTTGGATTGAGATAGACGCTACCGTTGGATTGAGATTGCCTTGGGCCTGGATTGGGATTGATACCCCGGAGGATAGGGATAGAAAGGCTGTAAGGCTGTACATATGCTTGTGTTACCCGCTGCACTCCTTTACCACGTCGGTGGTGCCGTTATCTAACCAAAAACGGTATCCGTGACATCTGTGACGCAACCTTTCCTCGACTGTTACACGTCGCACAGCTTTCGCAACGTTCGCTTAACATGCTTGGCACCAAGCGCTCTGTCCCACCGTATGCATGCTCGCGTATGCATGCTCGGAAACCATGCAGAAGAAGAACAACAGCCTGCCGTCCGCTTGACATCCCGTCATATGTACATAACACTAACTTGCACACCCATAAAATGTCCAATGGGACTGCTTCCACAGGCTGCCGCAAATAATCATAACAAAACACCTATCTTCCTGTACATGCTCCTGTACACGCACGCTCTGAAACTAGCCCATGAGTGTCGTACACACCACACCGCTGTACCGACACAAGTGCGCTCTTCTATTGGGTAAACCCAAACGACTGGTGGCGCGTAATGTACAGATTCCCGCTCGGAATTAAAACCCGCATTTCAGCGGCGCGAGTTCTGGTGTGCCCACGCGTTGGCACCAGCAATCGAACCTATGTCACCAAAAATCCGGACAAACTTGTCCACATTGGTACCCAAATACACTACCACACTTCCGTGTGGATTTTGTACACGGCTGCCCCATTTCAACTCCGACTCCTCTCCCACGGATGTGTGCTGTGGCTGCACAAATGCAAGCCGCTCCCACAGGAAGCAAACTGGCCATTCCAACACTGCCCTAAACCACTTGTACCCGACAGCGGCCTTCAGCAGGACCACCGCCTGTTTGACAGCCCCTTGTCGATACTCTTTCACACACCGTTCGAAGAACAAGTTCTGCATGCTTAGCACACCCCTCGAACCGAAAGGAGGGTTGACGAAAACATTCCCCTCCCACCTACATGCCTCACTGAGGCCATCCAAAGCCACATCAAAAAAGCGCCCGGCCTTAACTCTAGTGTTTGCCGCCTCCGAGCTGCACGGGTCCAGGTCAATTCCCCCCGGCCCAAACATCTCTGCGACTTTATCTAGGATGCACTGTGGAGTGTACCACTCTACCGATGCACTCTGCAAAAAGATAGGCCGGCTACCCGCCGGGACTGCATCTTCATTGTGGCCGTTAGCCCTTGACACAGCGGTAACAGGCGCGACAACATCGGCCATGCCACTCTCGTCCTCACTATCACTCTGTGCGACAGTGCTGGCTGTTCCCACCTCCTGGATGCACGACACCACGAGCTCAGCAGTCATGCGCCGTCCCTCCTCGTTATGACACCTTAAGACACGTTCCCAGGCCAGCCTTGCCACGCCTGGTTCGCATCGTGTCAATGGCCGGACCAGCCGTTCATACTGTGGCACAGGCATGGAAGGTGGCAAAGACCGGATGAAACGAGCAGCCGCCACCCATGCCCTCGCTTGTCGGTACCCAAACCCCAGCGACTTCCTCTCAAGAATATACGCGCGGAATGACTTGTACCCTTCCGCCTCAAACAGATGCTGCTCGGCGATATCCAGCAGCGCACAGCTGGCTTCCACAAAAAACCCACCAGCGGCCATGGTGACACGTGCCTCAGCTTCCCCGAGGGTCCATGCACGCGCAACAGCGTACGGTGCTCTGCACATAGCCAACATATAGTCGTGTAATGGCACACAACGTCATTCATGAATCGGAGCAAATGCAAAGAAGTAATGAAATGGCTAATGAATTGAAAGCAGTCAGTCCTCACACAACTAGACAGTGACCTCGTAGGCGTACTGCGCATGTGGCTCTTTATCCGTTCCCCTGCAGCCGAACTTATAGCACGTCATCCCGCCAACCTTATTAATATGGACTTTAGCGATGGCCCTGTAACAATGGCAGCACGTGGTCAGTAGGTGGTCTTCCAAGCAAACCGGACATTGGTTCCAGTGCCAAAGCTTGTCCGCACCCTTGCAGACCTCACCGGACCCCACTCGCGTGTACACAAAGGTGTCCTCGCTGGGTGAGGCCACACTTGATCCTGGTCCCCGTGGCAGGTCTTCATACCTCCCGGGAGACATGCCGTGCTCCTCCGGCTCAGCCTCTACACCCGCATCGTTGCCATCACCCTCCCAGGGGTCGTCAATGTCGATGCCGGCTGCACCCGACGAGCCCATAGCGCCATATGCAGAGGCTCCAGAACCCAGTCGCTGCCGTTGTTCGTCCTGTTGGTGGTAGGCAGGGAAAGTGTCGTCCAGCAACTGCTCCTGTGGTGTTGACTGCCGCCACGGCAGCGGCGTTGGCTTGTGCTGTGGCTGCTGTATGGGATACCGCCACTGCTGCTGAAGCTGTCCCTCCATGCTGTCTCCACCACGTTGCTGTGCCTGCTGGTGTCGCTGGAGCCCCCGGTACTGCGGCCGTGGTCGCTGCTGTTGGATCCATCCTTGTTGGCATTGACGGAGATGACACTGAATACACGCTGGTCCAGCGGCGGTGGCTCGTCAGCATTGACAGGGTACTTGTGCACCAGCGCCAAGTTCACGCAATTCTCCCCGCCGTTCATCGTTTGGTCAAGGCCCTCCTGAGGGTCGAGGAAAAGAAACTCACTACAGTCAGAAGATACAGCGAAAGGCAGCAAGCATGACCAAGTAACTGTGTGCCGAACAAGGAATCTCTTGCCCCCCAAAAGCATGCGCTCCGTTGTGGAAGTACTGCTGAGCTCACACGAGTGTACTCACCGCGATCCGCCTCGCCATGTCCTCGCTCGACCCGCGGCGAGCAGTCGAGGGTACAGGAGCTGTCGGACCAGCAGGCGCGGCCCATTCCGCAAGGGCCAGCTTAACTGCGTCGTTGCACTTAACTTTTCCAAGGGCAACGAGGGCCGCTTGTCCAGCTGGGCAGCTTATCCCTCCTTCAAAATGCTCCTTATGGTGCTTTCCTGTGGCATGGATAATCAACCCTTTCAGTGTTATCGATGTGCGTCCGTTTCGGAGATCCGGTCATTCATGGCCTGCCTCGATTGTTTGAACGCGATGTAATANAGCGGTCTGAAACATATATCAAAATGTGAATCACTAAGTTGCACAATCTCCCGGAACAACTGGACACGACAACCGCGACCCTGCGCAACAACCTACTTCCGACACTCCGAGCGATGTCCGCTGCGGACTGAAGCCCATGCTCCATGAGAGAATCTATGAAAGCCTTGTCCCTCCCCGAAGGCTCCAGTTCCATGCCTCCACCGCTCCGCGGCCGGCATAGATGCACAGCCAGCGGCCAATCGAACTGCTGCTCCACGAGCGATTCTACCTACGGGTACAGAAAGGACATACGTTAAGGTTACTTCCTCAACTCGAAGCAAGGTAAACACTTCCATTCCTCGGTAGCCATTTTGTCATTGTGAGCCAGTGGCTCACAAGTGCTGTCAGTCGCGCCAACCTACCTGCTCTGACCAGGATGAAACCATAGCTTTTCCTCGTGAATGTGACGTGACACCCTCGTCGTCGCCGGTGTCCAAGGACGGTTCGGAAAGTCCGGAAGGGTCAGACATCCTCAGAACACGAGAGTCAGTTTCATTAGACAAACAAAAGTTATGTAACCCGTTTCAGTTGGGGTACGTAGAGAGTCTATCAGAGGAGAACCCGCAAAGCAGTTCCTTGCATGCAGCTCCTTGTAAATTAAACGTACGGCACCCCGATACCAAACTAAGGCGGCCTTTGCGAAAAGCAGACAGTAACAATATTCCTAGATTGCTGTTGCCACATTCAATCCATTCATACGACCATGTGGTTTTTATGTGAACCATACTAAGACCATGTTTGATCCCTCCCTTAAGGAATTCAAGTAGACTGCGTAGCACTTACCAATCGCAAGCGTACAATAATCATCGCGAACTATGACACCTAAGATACTACACCGTTTGGCTTTTAAGGCTGTTTGTGCCGACTCGTACGTGTGAGCCAATGGCCCTCACCATCGACAGGCCCGTGCCTTGCTTAGCTTGCAGACGGCATCACCCTTTGACAACATGCTGCTGCTCGCACCTATCAATATTGGTACATATTCCGCCTGTAGCACGTGTATCGTGTGCTCTCGGCTGTTGTCGGACTCGATGGATAACCAGTTCCACAGCCGAAGGGAGCCCGGAGGCAGTCTTCAATGCTGCACTAGACAAAGCTGGCCTCATGGCGAAACCTCTCCGTGTGCCCGCGTCAGCGCTTGTGACGAACCAGCCTTTCACGACCCGGTCTTTAACGCGGAAGGCTTCCATTGCGGAGTCGGTCCTATGCCCTGGGCTCCGGGGCCCAGAGCTTGCTGCGCTCTATGGATCTGACCTACAGGGCGTCATGCAACGTTCGGACGTCGAGTGTGCCACTGCACACGACCGGGACATCGTGGATTGGCTTCCTGAGCTTGAAGAGGTAGGCTTCCCAGTGTTAAGGTCACATGTACGTGGTCACTTTTGTTGACCACGTCAGGACACTCGTTGATATTGTTGGACCCAATCGCATCGTTGTCCCCTGCCCCTTCCACCTCAGGACAAACTTGAAGGTTTCCTCGACACTGCGCCACCCGCCTACTATGGCGAGTCGGACTGTATCCGCTCTACCTTGTGTGCTGTCGTCGTGCAGCCGGGCGGAGGACCTTGTGCTGCATGCCGGGAACTGGGCGTGGACAAGAAACACAAACTGCTACGCAAAGCACAGCGCGCGCAGCAGCGCATCCTCTTGTTGGAGCAGGGCCTGCCGGCACTGCTTCCGACATCGCTGCTGTCAACCCTCGGCCGGGCTGAACTGTTGTTGCGCCTCCAGGCGGCGCTACAACATGCACAAGTTCTTCTCCAGGATCTCGACACGGCACGTAGATCAGTGGCAGCCAATGCAGAGCGAACACGACCGGCACTCGTGGATGAGCTGGAGGAGGCGTTTCGGTCGGGTGAGGGTTCGTTTCGACTCCAGCCCGGGAGGGACACGGTGACCCAGATGGGTACTTTGCGCCGGGACATTGTTGTTCCGTTTCCTATGCAGGGATATTGAAATGGTGACCCAGATGGCGACTTGTACGGCACGTGTTAACCTTGGTCATCTGTGCAACTTCAGGCAGACTGGAGCATGGGTCTGTGTTTGCTTCTCTCATGCGGGGCGCGGTGAGGGGCGACAGTCGCCGGGGCCGCCAGCTGGACCATATCGAGCGGGCCTTCTACCTCCTGTTGCTGCAGATGGGTGGCCCTATCGTGGTCAAATTCGTGGCCGCCAACTTCAACGGCCCACATCTTCGAACCATCCAGAGGAGTCGCGCCAGTCAGGCGTACTTCCGGGTTGGGCCTGCACATGACGATGCCAACATCAAAGGAGTGGGTTTGGGTCTGCGCGCAAAGGGAGAAACCGCGAGGCAATCGATGCCATCCGACAGTCTAGCTATCATCTAGGTCCCGGGTGCTCAGCCGGGGTAGCGCTCGTGCATCTGGATGAGTGGGTGGTGGGATGGGAGTGCTCCCTTTCCCTAGCGACTGGGTGTTTCAGCCTCATGTTTCTGATACACCTGCTGTGGCCGCCACAGGTACTCGGCGTGTTGACGGAGTTTAACCAGCACGCACTGCCCCTGGTGATCAGTGAAGACGCGAGTGCACTTTCACCGCGGCTTGACACCGTGCACCGCCATGGCGCCATCCTCGCGTATGGCATGTGTGGTGGATCGGAGCAGGTAGATGGTGGGCCGCAACAGCTGCGAGACCTCGTGCTGGAGCGGGGTTTGGCCCTGTCGTTGTACGTGCATGTCGCTGTCGGTATCGCAGCACATAGCGTCTACGTGCCCGTTCGTGCCGTTGGGACAGACAACAAGGACACTGCACCGGCACTGCTCCGCAACATCGATACCTTGGACAAGTCTCTCGAGGAGAACGGTGCCGTACCTATGGCGCACGTCGGCGATGGTGCGGCCAGCTTCAGGTGGGTTAAAAGCCCGTACATGCGTGTCGCAGGGACAACGAATAGGCGTCAAGCGAGGGAGGGGTACGTTGTCAAGATCATTGCGATACGAATAAGGTCTGAAGGGAGAATGCTACCTGGCAGATCATGCTGGACAGCCTCCCATATCGAAATCCTGATGCAACGTCGTGCTGACTTTACACATCATCGCTGCCCCTTAGGAGCGCCGTGCTTTCACGCACTCGCCGTTCGGTTACAGCAGCCCCCCCCCAGTGCTCCATCGTGGTGCGGCATTGGGTCATGGAGCTGTTCGCTCCGGGGCGGCGGTTGTCTCCGGCCTTTAGGCCACGACCGGTTCTCTTCTCCATCGACTACATGCATATCTGCTGGCGCATCAGGTGAATCGTCGCTCGATTGGCTGGGGTTTCTCAACTGGTGTCGTACACCACTGTCAGCCCACCTCTTTGGCTTGGCCCTTGCAGGCGCCAAGCCATCCACCCGACCAAGAAGCTGCTCATCGGGCCGTACCTTATCAACCCGAACATCCTCGTGACAATGGCCAAGGAGGGCGAGGTGGACATTACGGCCAGCGACCTCGATTACGCCGACAAGCAGAACCAGTCGGCAACAATGAAGTAGGACCGGGTAACGTTCATGGTGGAGTTAGCAGACTGTACTGCATGATGTCCACGCAATAACTTGGATGTCCCTTAGCCTAGCAAGGCAAGCCAGTTGTACGACTGCCTATCACTTGTCTTCTTTGCCTTTTGCTGTAATTTGTGTCCCGTTGCACAGGCTGTCAGACCACCACGTAGACCCCAAGACCAGGAAGGTCGTCGCGGTGGACTCGATACGGGCGGCTATCGCGTCGCGCTGCAAACGGAGCCCTGCGGGTGGAGTGGGCTCCACCGCTGATGGGACCTATTACGGCACGTATCTCTTTCATTCCTTCTTCCACATGTTCACTGGCGTCTTCTACACGGACGTGACGCCCCGCGAGGCTATCAGGAAGGCCGCGTTTGTGCTGGGTTTCTTGGGCCA